TCTGTTCAAACACATTTAAAACACAATTAGTGTCTACTTAATTCCATGTATTAATATGTTTTTATGGCCAACTGTAATACGCATTGCACAGAATCATAGGAATATCCTGCATTGGAAGGGCTCCACAAGGATCACAGAATCAGAAAATCAGAAAATATCCTGAGCTGGAAGGGTGCCATCAGGGTCATTGAGTCCAATTCCTGACCCTGCACAGGACACCCCAAGAGTTGCACCATGTGCCTCAGAGCCTTGTCCAAATGCTTCTTGAGCTCTGTCAGGCTTGATGCTGTAACCACTGCCCTGGGGTTCCAGTGCCCAACCACCCACTGCATTCCATAGTGTGGCTGGAGTATTTTAAAAATCATAAGGGAATAATGTTACAAAAGCTGTTAAAGTTGTATAACTCCCCAATTCTGTGATTTTGGGTAGGGAAGTAACATTTCTTCAAGTAGTTGCTTCTTGGCTGAGGGTGATAAGGCATAGGAAAGCACACACTTCTGCTAATTATCAAACACTCTAGGAAGTGGGAGACCTAACTAGAATATATGGAGAATCATGTTAACAGCACCATTTTTTCTGTGTCTTCATTCCACAAATTATATGGATGAGAGGTCAGGTAATGAATAAGATAATTCTGCTTCCACTCATCATTGGTAATTCTCTTCTGCAATTATATTCACCAACTCGAAATGTAGATTAGGTATTTTTCAATGAGAATGATACCAGTGAGGTTTGACCTTGATTTACTTTGCATTGGCATTGCATTGACAGGGTTGTTTTATAGACTTTTTTCTACTCCAAAAGTCTGTGAAATATCTCACATTTATAATTGCTTTATAAATGGGACTTCATCCCACACATATTTTATATGTAGTATTCACAGCATGCAATTCCTTTTACTTGCTTCATCTTACTAACTAACACAGAACAAAATTTCACTGAATTCATAATATTGCTCTGGAACTGATACATTCTGTATATTTACCCACCAATATGTTTTATGGAAATGAACACATTTCTTCTCTGGAGCATATTTTCAAACTTCAATTGCTCTTTACTGAAGCCAATTTTTTTTTTTTCAAACAAAAAAAAAGTGCAATGCGTTTCATGTCTATATATTTTTATTCACGCCAATATATTTTCACAGTTGGATAGATTTAACTAAATTAGTAGTTACAGTATTTGTTCAAACCATTGCATTTTTGCTGGCATCTGGTAAGTAAATGTTATCTGGGTTTTTTTTATTTTAGTAATCAGCTTCCACCAAACCCAAACCATTAAAAACAACAGCGACTTACCTCAACCACTCAAAATTTCTCACTCCAAAGAGCAACAAAAACAAACAAAACCCCAACTCCTCTGTTGCAGCTGCTGAAACACGGTAAAAGGCCATGCAAAAGGGAAATGCACAGACTCCAGGGATGAGCTCTGGTCCTCAGATTTCCACATAGGCCAGGAAGGGTGCAGTGGGCAGGGAAATGCACTTCCTGTGATCCCTCCTGGATCTAGGGACCCTCCACAAGAGGGAAGCTCATGGTGGGGCAAATGGAAGCATTAAGCACTTATTAAAGACAAATGTAAGAGGCTGCTATACAGCCAGAAATTTCTTCAAGGCTAGGGAGCAGCTGCAGTGGGGTTTTCTCACAAGATTTTTTTCTACTGAGCCATGTAAATAAATCTTACTTTCCAAACTGCTGTTTTAAATGTGATTAGCACTTTTGCAACTCAGGATAGAACCTGTCTCTAACTTCTGTCACTAGCAGCTTACCTTCTCATTTCCTGTGGGGCTTTTTTAGTTGGTTTTGGTACTCTGAACCATATTGTGACTACTTCTTTTCTACCCTCTATATTATACAAAATTTACTTTAAAGTATATATCATAGGACATAGCACTGAACAATTGTTTATAGAGTTATGTTTCCCAGCTTGTAACACTGGAAGTTTCTCTCTTGATAAATTATCTATACATCTTCCACTGTTTGATGAATTCAACCAAACCACAATATTTTGCCATATATATGTTTTCCTTGGGTTTCCCCTCCCTAATCACTGACCACTGATGGTATCAAGGAGCATCATTAAAAAACATGACTATCCCTTCAGATTTTGTTTGTCCTTCAGGGCAAACTCTAGAAGTACTCTAACCCAACCCAACACAGATGGGTCCATTTAGAAGAGGTGGAGTTTAGCTGTTGGGGTGATTTTATGATAAGTTGGGGAACTTCTTATTTGCCAATTCAGTGAGAGGAAATACCTGAGGACTCTTTCTGAATCATGTTTGGGGATTAAACTATTTTCCTTTGTTTAACATCAGGAGTATTTTTACATATGAATATTTGTACGTCATCTTGGTGAATAACAGGATAATGCAGAAGAACATTTTTCTGCTTGTGATAAAATGTTTGCCTTCTACATCTGATCTTCTGATGTTATCCCTTGGTATTTTAGGGTATTACTCTTTACTCTGTTCTGAAGTGTGTTTCCTGAAGTATCCCTCTTGCTCTTTTGGTCTGGAAGCAATGGAGCTTCTGGCCATGCTGCTCTACAGACCAATTGCAAAGCTGGTTTAGGTATCAGCTGCCACTGGATGTCACAACCTGATCTTCTGATGTTATCCCTTGGTATTTTAGGGTATTACTCTTTACTCTGTTCTGAAGTGTGTTTCCTGAAGTATCCCTCTTGCTCTTTTGGTCTGGAAGCAATGGAGCTTCTGGCCATGCTGCTCCACAGACCAATTGCAAAGGTATCAGCTGCCACTGGATGTCACAAGATGTGCTACTATGCTGACAGAAATCATCAAATTAACACAGCTGAGTTAATCAGAAATATGGCATCATATCTGGCACTTGTAATAATTTTAATCACACATTTTTCAGAAATGTAGTTAGTAAAGAAATCCTGGGGAGTACTATTGGGATTTTTTTCCCCTATCAACAGACTGCTAGCTCATTTCAGACCCACTTGATCCAGAAAAGAATGGCAAGAACCAGTATTTCTGGTTATGTTCCTATGCGGTGTGACATGATGTCCATGTCACTGAATCCTGGGAAGAAAAGGTCAGTTGGTGTTTCTAAACACTCAGATCAGCTTTTCCAAGTGGACTGATATGGCAAAGACTCGAAAAAGCCACGATGTACAAACAGGAGCTTCATTCCTAACCTGCCAGAGGTCTCCTTTCTACCCATTTTAATCACTAAGCTAGGAAGACTCTTGTATCTTTCCTATAATGTTTCCTGGAACAAGACTATAACCAAAAGTATATCGTGTCAAAAGTACAGAGCTATCAGCTGTCATAATTAATGCAAAAGCATTTCAGGATGGAGTAGAGTCCTGCCTTAGTGAAGGATTTGTAGGAATTGTTTTTTTAATTTCCCCCACCAACAACCAAAAAAAAGAGCCCACACCAACATTTGCTGACATTTATAGGGCTGCCTTAAACATGATGACTTGATCCTTTCTGTAAGTCTTCTAAAATATTTTGGTAATCATTCCCCATTCATTACTGCTGCACCTGCGCTGGACCCTAAGAGAACAGTTGTAAAAACTTTGCCTGTTGTGTCTTTTTTCACTAAGAAAAAAATTTTGGGTTTTCAAGTTCAAAACAAAACCAAGTAAAGAAAATATCTACTCATGCATTAGAAGCATACTACAAATGCTTCCCTGTCCTAGGGGACATTCCAGTGCTACATCCTCTATAGTGTTAACAACCCTCCAAAGGCATGGAGATGGATGTGATGGTCCTTTGCTACCAAACCATGCAAATGCTAGAACTTTAAAAGGTGATTCTTTGATTCGATGCTGTATTTTATGTGAGCATCTTGTGGAGACTGGGGGAACTCGGTATAAATCCTGATGCAGTCTCAACTGCTGCCAGGCATAATCATCACTTGCTAATGAACAAAGTGGAGGATATGACTGCAGAATGCATAACCTCCCCGATCCCACTCCTGTGCAAGCTCTTCAAGGTGAAGCTGACAACTGATTGCACTTCCTTGACGATCTGAGACCGTGCCCCCTTCAGAGAAATGAGCTTTTAAAGAGCTTCCCTCTCCTGTAGGGAAGACTATTTCACCACTTATCTCTGCAAAGCTCTTTGCTGTCAAAGCCCGGGACATGAAGGTTGAAATTAAGAGAGTTATTACTGTGGGAAACATGCTGGTGTTGGAGAGAAAACCTCAATAGGAAAAGGACGGAACCAGAACTGGAGAAATGCCTGGTCATTATCTGGGTGCAGGGAAATCCTGCTTTCTATGGGATAAGGCAACACAATTCCTCCACGGGGTGTTTACAGACAGATCCAGCAACTTCAAACCCTGGCATTCTGATTTGACTTGTGCAAAAGGCGGCCCGCACTGTGCTGAACACCAAATGCACGAAGGTGAGGTGCCTGCCTGCCTTCTTGCATTTCTCGTGGCATTCAGCGCTTTATCTTTTGGAACATAAGCAATTCCTGCCGCCAACCCTCTAAAGAAACCCTCCAAAGAAAAAAACTTTCTCCACGCCACGCAGAGTCCGGCCAACACTGCCCAGCGTCCAGGAATCTCTTCATCGCCATTGCTCGGGGGCCGACCTCACCGCCGCCGCCTCAGGGCACCTGCACGGGATTTGTCCCCCCCAGCACGGAGACGCAGCCGGCCCTCCTTTTATCCGCTGTTTTCGGGGAGGAGGAGCAGAGGGAGGAGAAGAGGTTTCGGGGGAAGGGCCGCCCGTGTCCCCGGCGAGCCCCGGCCGGGCCCGCGTCCCGCGACGCTCCCGCCCGCCCGCTTCAGCACCGCCGCTCGGGCCCGGCCCCCGGGCGCGCCCCTTCGGTTCGTAACGCGGCTCCTCATTGGCTGCCCGGGCTACCCCGGGCTGCGGCCATTGGGCAGCGCCACGCGCCAGTCACGCGCCCGCCGGAGGGGCAGGGCCAGGGCTGAGGGGCGTGGCCTGGAGGGCGGGGGCGGGGCCAAACGTACCTCGGGGGCGTGGCCGCGGCGCAGGGAGGGCCCGGGTGTGGCCCGAGGGCGGGGCCGGGGGCGGGGCCAGGCGCAGAAGGGGCGGGGCGAGCGGAGGTTGCCCTTGTGTCTCGCGCCGGGAAGCGGCTGGAGCGGAGCGGGAGCGGAGCGGGATCGGAGTCCCTGCGCATCCCCCCCCGCCTCCGCCGCCCCGCGGCGGCACGGCACGGGACAGCCTGGCATAGGCGAGCGGAGAGGCGGACGGACGGACGGACACGCCGGCAGGGGCAAGGGGAGCCGGCGGGGGCACCTGGCACCGCTCCGCGGTGGGAACCTGAACCTGCCCAGCAGCGCCGGAGCCAGCGGAGAGAGCCGCTCTTTCCTCCTCCTCCTCCTCCTCCTCCTCCTGCTCCCTCCCCAATCCACCCCCGCGACCCTGGTCCTCCTCCTCCTCCTCCTCCTCACCCCACTGGATACAGCGAGGGAGACACTGCGGCGGAGGCGGCGGCGGCGGCGGCTCCTGCGGGGGGAAGGAAGCGCCCCGAGAGCGGAGCGGCGGGAGGCTGCGGATCTGCGTGCCTGGCGCCCACCCAGCCCGAGGGGAGCCCCCAGGATGCGGCTGAAGCCCGGCGCGCTCCTGCGCTTCTACAGCCTCTGCGGGATCCTCGTACAAGGTACCGCCTCCTCCCCACCCCTGCCCCACGCGTGGGGAGGGAGCGACGCCGGGGGGGCACCGCTGCGGCCCGGGGCATCCCAGATTTCCCCCCCGCCCCACTCCTGACCCGCTCCCTCCCTCGCCCCTCTCCCGGCTTCCCCCCTCGCCGTGCGCCCCCAGCCTCCCGCTCGGGTAGCGCTATCCAGCGCTGAAGCGCCGCACGGCTGTTAACCCTTCCTGCCCTTCCCTCGCCAGCCTCTTGCCGCCCTCCTTCGCCCTCCTCGCTTCTTCCCCCACCCACCCCTCACCCGACCCCCGCAGCCGCCCCCCGGACTGGCGGTCCCCTCCTCTCCCGCCCGCCCGCCGCGAACGTGCCCCCGAAAGTGCGAGTGCAGCCGCAGCAGCGGCGTGTGCGCTGCAACAACATCCCGGGGAAACGTGCGGGCTCCAGCCGTGCCCCCCCGGCGGGGGGCGGCGGGATGGGGGGGTGCCCGCGCCTCGCTGCGCCGCCGCCGCCGCCGGGGGTGCGTGTCTGTGTGCCAGGCATCCAATGTGCACGTAGGGTAATCGGATGAGCCGGGGGTTCAGCGGCGGATCCCTTCGCCATCCTGCTCCAGGCGGCTCATCCTGCAGCTAGTTTCCAGACTGGATGTATTCCCCTCTCCCCCCTCCCCGCCGCCGCTCCCGTTATCCGGCCGAGCGGGATGGAGCGGCGGCCGCGCAGGGAAGCCCCGCCAGGCGCTGCGGGGCAGCGGGCGGCGGCCCCGGCCCGGCGGGGGCGGAGGGGGCCGGGGAGCCACCCCGCTGCAACTCGCCGGCGGACCCCGCTCCTCCGGGAGGATGCGCGGCATCTCCCAGCCCTTCCCTCGCTCGGCGTGCGGGGCGTTTCGGTGTGGGAAGGAGAAGCGAAGAGTCGATTAAACTAAGTGGCCTTGTACGTTTTTTTTTTTTTCCCTTCTATTTTTCTTTCCCCCCCCAGCTCGCCTCCGTCATGCCATCTCACGTCAAGTTTAATATATTTCGCGTTTCACATGGCTGCGTCATGTGTCGGGCGATCTCTCCGGAGGGAGCCGAGGCTGGCGGCCCGGAGCGGGGGCACCGGCAGCCGCCCGGGTTCCCGGAACACGGGAGCCTCACCCCCTGCCATCCCCATCGCCCAGACACCCTCCGAGTGCCCCCGCTCCACCTCGCGGGGAAGTTCCCGGCCGAGGACGCGAGGAGGAATGGGAGGGGAAGGGAGTGCGCTGGGCAGCCGCGAAGGACGGGTCCGTCGGGCGGATTATTTGTATTCTTTCGCGATGTTTGTGGGTTGCCCGGTACGTCACCGCACAAGGAGCTGCTGTGTTGGTGCTATACAGGATTATTTATGGGGGCATGTGCGGCGCGCTGCACCTGGGGGCTGGCTCCTCTCTGCCTTTTACATTTCCCTGTGAATTGTCAATTCATTGCCCTGCAACGGAGCTGGGGGTGGGAAGGCTCTGGACTGACTTTCTGTCACCAATAAAATCGGGGTTGCTGCTGGAGGAGGAGGATTTGATCTTTCCTAAGATGCAATCAGCCGCATTCAGCGCGGCGCAGCTTTAAGAGTAAACCAGTGATTAAAAACAGTGATGTCTTTCACTGCAGTTTAGAGAGCGTGCCAGGCAGAATGTAACTCTGTGAACTGCATCAGGTAAAAAACGTGTTGCAAAGAAATGGGGTGTAGTGCAAAATCTGACTGTGACTGTGTGAAAATAACCACATTGGGCCTGTCCTTGCAGATGGGGAAAAGTGATGCCTAACACATTACCCATCTTGCCCTCTGCATGTGTAAAGCATCTCCCCTCTCTTCAGTTTCTCGCACAATTATTTTTTCAGCTCCTGATTAAAACTTCAATCAGAAATACTTAGGCTCTCTGTGTACCACACTTCAGCAGAGTGTTCTTTCAAGGGGATATAAAGAACCTGTAACACTCAGGCAGAAGTGAGAGGAAGTAATTTCTCCCAACCTTTATTTCCTGAGGTAAACGAGATGAATAAATATATTCCATAAGACTGTCCTCAGTGGCAGCTGTATCCAACAGAATATCAAATCCCTTCAGTCCACCTTAAAGCGCAACTTCGTAAATGTTGTTTTGTTAGTTTCTGCCATTTATTTTGACAGAAGTAGCAGATACAGTTACCATTAGACACATTTCTTGTTGATAGCTTAATAGCTGCATTTAAAAGTAGTTTTTCCTTTGGCTTGATTTGCTTCCCCAAACTGTATTGTGAAGTAGCTCAATGGATTTATTAGATTCTTCCAATTTTTTTGTTCGTGGGCTGTGGGACATGCAGGTTTTTCTGTCAGCTCTGATGGGAATAACATCTTTTTCCTGAGGATCCGAAGCACTTCTGATCTGTAATCACCGATGGTTTCTCTTGGTGAAACTGAAGCTAATTAAAGACAAGGTGACAAAGAGTCAAGCTGACATGTGTCCTGTATGGAAGTTTGCCTTTCTGGCAAGATCTGTGGAGAGACTTGCTTAAGGAATCTGTCCAGACTATTGATGAAGCATCAGCTGAGGGAAGAGGACATAGAATAATGCTTCTCAGCTTGTGCATGGAATAGCATTAGCAGCAAGCAGTCCCTTCAGAGAGGAGGCAAACAAGAAGTAAAAGAGCCCAGTGTCAGCTGCTTGCTGTGAAAGGGAAGCCACGGAGGTGGGAGAGGGAGTAATAACATGTGGAGCTGGGAAGCAGTTTGTCAGCTGAGTTCAGGGACAGTATTCCTCTGCTCTGCCCTTTCCAGCGTTTGCTGTGAAAATAGTGGGATCTCTGGCTGCTGCTGTTCTTAACTTGAGTGCTGTAATGAGCCTGGAGTACTTAAATGATGTCCCAGGGGGTTAACCTGTTATTTATGTTTACAGACAGCCTTTTTTCTTTTTTTTTTTTTGCTTTCTGATTGTCTTTTGACTTCATGAATGTAGTCTTAGACAAAATTTAACAGTTGTGTGGGGAGGCATGTTTTTAGAATAACTCAAGTGCTTCATCTGAGCTTTTTTTATGCAACCTGATGAGTAGGGTCGTTGTTGTCAAGAGTCGCCATGTGAGAAACTGTTACAATAAAAATAGTTCTGGATTCATAGGATACAGATACAGGTTAGGATTATCCTGGAATTGTAGCTGCTGTAGCCCCCTGCTGTGTGATAATGCAAATGGCATCTAATGCCTTAATGTGCTCGGCTCGGAGAAGGCTCTGGGTAGTGCCATGTGTGGGAACAAACGATCCACTTCCAAGGTTTTGCCAGCACTGGACAAATCTTCTCAGTGCGGTTGCTTCAGACACTTCAAATGTGTGCAACCTGTCTACTAATGAAAATAATGTAGGGACTCTTTAATTTGTCAGAAACTGTGGCCACTGATGCAACAAATCAGCCAAGACAGGTAACTGCTTGTGGGTGAGACTCTTTTCATTAGCCCGGATCTGTTACAAGCAGAATAAAAAAACCTGCAAACAAAGCTGGACAAACATGGATATGACTACTTATGAGATCGTCTAAGCTGATTTAAGATGAAGTTGTTACACATTACTCAATATCTTGTGTATTTAGACTTTGTTTTGAATTTTCAGTTGGATTTCTGCTAGCAAAACCTTGGCAACCCAAGGCTGCCTGCACAGGGGTTGTCTTGACAGCTAAGTGTTCATATGCTAATACAGTGTACAGCCAGTCAAATGCATGGAGTTTTAATTCCGTAGGTACTGTGAGGGCATACACAATTACATAATAAAAGACAGTAGTTTTGGTACAGTCTCTTTTAGACACAATTTGAAACATAAAATTTTTCACTTTACTTGATGGTGTCTGTCTTTATAGGACTTCCATCAATCTATAGAGGGCTTGGTAGGATTATTAACTGCTTAGTTCTCAGGCTAGTTCATTTTTTATGAATTATTTTGCTTGATTTCTTCATGACTTTTTATTGTTAGTCATTCTATAGCGGTTCAGGTCTAGAACATGAAGTAACTAAAAAATCCAGATTCTCATTGATGATGCCCCACAAGTTCCCTGTGGAATGCATGAATAGGGATTACTCACTCAAATATTTATCACTCTGGCACTCAATTTATCAAGTTTCTCCCATGCAATCAACATGGGAGACAAACATTGAAGTTTGTCACCAAAGAAGTAACTCCATGGAAGTGCTAATCAACAGAAGCACCTCTGCTGAAGCAAATACATTTTTCTTTTTTCTTGTCTACTTTCCTATTAGTTTCGTTCTTATTTTTAAAATTTTTTATTTCAGAAATGTAGAACAGTGAATCTGCCTCTGCTTTTAAATTTACTTGTCAGTTGCAATTCCATTATAATGTACTACAAATGTCTCTAAGTTATAGTTTATTATTACAGAAGCCTTAGTTCTTATAATTAGCTTTCTCATGCCTCTGGTCTGATCCTACTATTGACAAAATGTGTTGAATGAGATTACTCTTACTCTTCTACCAAAGAATTATCTTAATAGGAGTTATTATTTTAATATTGCAATGTAAATTGAAAATTGAAGCTTGGATTTTGAGGTTTTTTGGGGTTTTTTTGGTGTGGTTTTTTTTGTTGTTGCTTTTTTTTTTGTTTTGTTTTTTTGGTGGTTTTTTTTTCTTTCTCTCTCTCTCTCTCTCCTGTGCATTACAAATGTTGATTAAGTAACTGGTAACAGCAGTTATGTATGGTATGGACGAGGACATCAGGTGCTTGCCAAAAAGAAAAGCAGTATAACCAACCAGAATGTGGTTGATTGAGCTAGAACAGTGACTCCCTCTCCATCTTACAATTGAAAATGTAGAAATAGGAGATGTTGTCATTGTCCTCTTAATGTCTTCTCCAAGAAAAAGAAGGATTACTTCAATTTTGTTTTAATTGATTTGAACAGCAGGCAGAAACTCCCAAAAGTTAGGGCCTCTCAAAACAATGCAGGATCTTCTGTAGAGTGATTGCCACTGACATGCTGTTTAAAATACACATCCTAAACCAAATGCAGAAATGTAAAACTATTAGACACAGT